TTTCTCTTCTCTCTATTTGTGTTTTTCTGCCACTGCTCTTGTCCTTGTATCTGCAATTATCACGATGATCTTATTTATCATTTTACATTTAGAATTGGACTTTCAAACACCTCATTTTTTTTCTTCTTCTTCATCCCTCTCCCCTCCTAAATTAACACTTGACAAATTCATGTGTTATTCATGGGCAGATTTGCAGATATTCTTAAACGGTCACAATTTTGTTTCAGATCTATTTGTGTTTTCCAGTCTGTGATACAGACTGTTGCATATACTGATTTGCCCATAACCCCGTTGTCTAATTAATGGCAACAAAGAATGGACCAGTTTCAAACGTGGTTTTAAAATGTTAATAAAAGGCTTCTTTGCAGTGAGAGATGGCTTTTGGTGTTGCAAACCCAAAAGAAATGGAAGAACTGCTACTACCTGAACCCTGATAATCATTTGATTACAATCTAATCTTTTTTGTGCCATATTCTAAGTCTCTCTGTATAGCAAGTGGGCCTACTGAGTGGTTACGACTATTTTTCCAAAATCATACATGACTCCGAAGACAAAATGGACAGCCAGTGGCTGTGTTTGTATACAATTTAAACATTAGTAAGAAAAATGGAAGAAATGTTCAAAAGGATGACATTCCAACGTGCAAATCAGAGCATAATAACATAGTGACTCTTACACATTTTTATGGTTGGTACTCAGGCAAAGGAGGCCACACGCATGTTTATAAACTACCTGAGCAGGCAGAATCTAGTCTAAAAGCAGATTAGAGTCATTCTAAGACTGACCGAGCAGAAGTCAGGGAATAGGAGAGAAAGAACAAAGCTTACTGTGGAGAGCATAAAGCGATCATGCTGCTGAAGTGTTACAAGTTATGCTGGTTCATTTTGGATTTAATTTCTTAACACAGCCTGGCATAATGAGAAACTGTAACACAAGACAGGTTCCTGCTGAGTGTAGTTCAAATCATTATTTGTCAAGCACCTCTTATGTGAAAGGAGCTTTGCTGGAAACCACAACATCCCTGTTTCATGCATGGGATCTAATAATAGTTCAATTATGAATCCGTTTTCTTGCAGCTGGAGAACGAGAGAAAATCAAACACAACACGAATCCATGCCATTTGGTCTGTTTGGTAGATGATGAGGCTCAATCATCTATTTTTTTCAAACACATAAAATATAAAAAATAAAGTAAAAATGTAATGTCTAATTAGAGACTCACATAGGAAGATCTCAAATATTTCTGCCAGCCTGGTAGACTTGGACATATTGTCATTGTTTGCTAGGTGGTTTACTTGAGATACAAATAAGTCTCCACTTGAATTATCAAGTAAGGATTACATTGAAATGCAAGGAGGAGTATAAGAACCTAACAATTCAGTTTCACAGATCACGTAGTTTAGTAATTTTGAGGTTGAAAATGAATTTCCTTTTGCCTCAGGGGATATGCTAAAACTCATGCCTTATTTTAATTTAAAGCAACTCACAGTGTGCATCCCACCCAACAAGGTCCTTCAATATATTGAACACAAAATAATGCTATATATAACATTGGCTTAATGAAATTGTATCAGAAATCCAAAAGCAGGCTGCAACATATTCTAGTATATTTTGTTGCTTTCTGTCTCTATATGTACAATACTTTAAAGAGTATCTAATTAAATATATATTAATGTAAAATATTTATAAAAATTCCCATCAATGTTATCATCAGTTATGAAATATACCTACAATTTCTTTAATTACACAAATGAAAGCATTACTTTGCTAATTATTACTGGTTCCCAAAAGGATACATTTTAATTATTTCAAAATCATCAAAATGATAGTTTTAATATACCTTCATGAATCAGATGAGGTATACATACATGAAATCATCCTGTTTTTCCTGTATGCCTACAAGTTTGAACAAGAAATGGAGTTATACAATAAAATGAAAAATGAATTCTCATTTTTTGCAGGATTAAAATGTGTGCAAAGCTATTTATTCATTAAATTGATATTATAATTGCAGAAAAGATTAGGGTTATGCCTTGTTGATTGTAATCAGAAAGAAATTAATTTTTAAGTTCTTATGAAAAATTTCTAGACACTTTTAGAAACTCTTTGGTCATTTATCCTTACCAGACATGTGGTAACATTTTTGTTGCAAAAAGTCTTTCAAAAACACAATTTTATCTTTTATTTTCCCATGGTAAAATTTTCTATCAACCATCCAGACTTCCTACACCCTTGGCAACAGGTTAAAATGTTGCTTTTAAACTGATCAACTCAAAAATATACATGATACTCCAATAAAGGCATTCATTAAAGCTATGTGTAGTCAGTGCTATTCCTAAGATAATTTTACTTGGTTAGGCACCTCTGCGTCTGTAGATCTGTCCCACCTGAAGGTCTCCACAGTTTATAAACTAAAATTTATCTTGGCGTTTACTTCTTATTGCATTTTGTCTTGTTCAAGTTGTTCTAAATTTCATTGGAAATGAATGTATTAACTATATTAACTTTGTATTAGAATTATTTACAAGGTTTTGTCTGTATTCAAACTATGGAGGGATAAATTTAGGAGCCAAATTTGTGTGCATATTATTGGAGATGATCTGTTAATTGATGCTGATGAAGGCATTTTCTCATCACAGATGTTCTGTCTTTCTGTAGTTCTCTTTATACAGCTCATATGGATTTTATCAGTTTGAATGTTATTCAAAACATTCTATAATTTTATTTGAAGCACATGTAATGTTTGAAGATTTTTGTTGCTCATGTCACTTAATTTGGTACTTTCTACAAGGCAAATTATGTTTACAGATATTTATATGTATTGCATACTTGCATGCATGTACACGTGTATGTATAAATTTTTCCATATCACTGTCATTTTCTCCCTCAGTACTAAAAGTTTTCTTTTTCAAGTTCAGTGAGTCTCTACCAAGAACATTTTTTGCTGTTCTGCTAAAGTACAGAACATCCGCTGTCAAGAGCTCATTATTGTACTCTGTTAGACCTTTCTAGGTGGAAAGCTCTTTGCTTCATCCATCCTCTTTTCTTTTAAGAAGTTAAACCTTCAGCTGAAAAGTTCAGAAAACATTTTTATTTCTTTGTGTCATGAAGTTTCCCTTTTAAAATCTTTAAAACCTAAGCAAATAGATTGCAACTTTCTTGATTTCTAATCATACTTCAAATTAAATTTCTAATAATTATATAAAGAGTATGAAGGGTATACTAGTCCAGAACCATTAAAGGGAAATCTCATCTACCAATGCCTGTTATCGTATTATATGTTGCTTTCATGTTTTCTGAAATCTGAGGACAAGAGACTTAGATCACTTCTTCAGTGCACCAGTTATGAAAATCACTAACATGTTTGGTCCCATAAATATTTACTTCTTACATTTTCCTTTAATGTTGTTAAATAGGAATAAGTTTGTGTTAATCATGAAGTAATAAACTTATAACTTGATACATCTGTTTCCTCAAAGATCAAGCTTTCAGGGGCGAATATGCCATTTGTGTTTCAAATGCATAATGTAATTTCTTCCTCCCTTTTTCCTAGTCTCTGAGTCTCCCTACTAGTCTCTATTCTGACTTACTTCAGAGTAGAAAATTAATACATGTTTAAATTCTCCTTTTATTTGAAAAGCACATCTTTTGTTAATTCTTCTTTGAAGTATTCATATTTTCCTCGATAGCATAGGTTCAACAATGCATGTGCAGTTATACTGTGTATATTTTTTGTATTTGATTCTCTATATTTTATTGAATATTTGCGAAATTATCTTTCTGTTGTATTAATTGAACAATGTGTAATCCAGAAGATATTGCATGTACTGGATCATGACTATCATAAATACACCTATGCAAAACAGAATTTTAACTTTTATGCTAGGCATACTTAATATGAGGACAAAAGCCTCTGCTGTAGCCTAATGGTTGCTGTAGATAACTTATCCTTCAGTGCTGTCAGCAGTGGGACGGAAAAGATCTAAACTTTGGCATAGACACTGATTCTAAGAGGCTCCAGAAGAGTGTGACCTTGCTTATGCACCCAATCAGCACCTAGGACAACAGTTATTTTTACGAAGGGGATCCAAAAAGCACATCAAGTGTACATCAATGTTGTAATTTCACTAATGTACATTCTGGATGAGGAATAAACCAAAAAAATGTACTGTAGACTGTATTCACTCAAGGACATTAATATCAGTTTGTGGTGAAAGACACTGTAGTTTTGAACAGGATTCTAGAATATACTAGTTTTCATCTGTGTAAATTTGGTCTGTTTATACTCCAGAATTCAAAGCAATTATAATTATCATTTATAATATAAATTGCCTTTGCAGTGAAAAACAAGGAATCGAACACATTCTTTACTAGTTTCTGTGGGTTTATTATATGACATTGGAAAAGCACATAAACAGACTCTACTATTTTATCCATCATTAACCTCCCAATGAGAATATTCTCTAATGAGAGAGTTCACATCATAGTTCACTTTTAAATGTTTATCAATGTGATATTTCCATGGAAATATAGTCTTACCAGTGGATTTTTACACATTTTTAATGTATTAATATCGCTTACATACCTTGGTAAAAATAGTCTTCTCACTTACAGTCTGAGGTTTGGGAAGTTCTTCCCAGCTCACCATGAAGTTTAGGATACTCTGAGTTTCAAGCCGTTGTCTTTCTTACATCTTTTTAGCTGCTGCATGCATATCCAAAAGGTTGATTACTTCCTCCATCCTCTGTCCTCAAACTGTTCTCCTAACCCTCTAGTTTGGCTGTATCAAGTTTTCAAATTAGGCCATTCAATTTGAGAAAAAAATTATCAATGCCAACTCCAGGATAATTGTCCCTTCATGCTCGCTTGTCTGTTACATAAGGTGAAAAAAAAAAAAAAAAAAAAAAAAGTCACACATATACATTTTATCCATTCAAGGAAATGTGGATCTTTAATGGCAGCTTTACTAAGTGCACTTTGTTTTGCTTATGTCTGTCATAGATAACACAGCCAGCATTCTGACAAGGCGGAGGAGATTTAGTCGAACTATTCAGGATGTGTATTATCTGCCCATTATGATCTCTGATGGTGGAATCCCCTCTCTCAGCAGCAGCAGCACCCTCACCATCAGGGTTTGTGCGTGCGAGAGAGATGGGCGCGTGCGGACCTGCCACGCAGAAGCCTTTCTGTCCTCCGCGGGTCTGAGTACAGGAGCCCTCATCGCTATTCTCCTCTGTGTGCTCATCCTCCTGGGTAAGTCACCCTGCTCCGGGGGGCGATGCGATGGCACATCGGAGTAAGAGCGGACCGTTTATACAGTATTGCACTGTAAGATGTGCAGGCATGTGGGTGCGAAGACTAACTGCACAGACTTGCTTTTGATTAACTTTCACAGTACTGTAGTTGAATTAATTTGATTCAAGTATGATGAGAAGTTGGGAACAGCAGAGTCAGAAGGAAAACTGAAATAGTTTCCGAGTCTCTAATTCAGAAATTTTAAGATATTCTGAATCCTATCTTCAAAAGGTTTTTGGCAATTTATTTCGCAGAACGTAATTCTAAAATGAATCTGATGAAGACTCATAACACCTGAATGTTATACACATAGTACAAATAAGAATAGAAATTGAATGTACAAGAAGAGGGCTGTAGTTAATAACAATATTGAACCATGCATTGGAAATTGTCAAGAGAGCAGCTTTCCGTGCTCTCACTACCTACATACACATAAAAGGGGATGACTTAGAGGATTGGTAGGTTACCTAGCTTGACGGTAGTTAATGGTTCCCGATGTACTAATGTATAAAACATATTGGTCCCACAAACATACATGATAAATAAGAAATCTACATTGATCTGAAATACTAGTCACCATTATTATCTTATTTTCATTCTCAACTACTTTAGTCCAATATATCATAATGTTACTAATTTAATTTAAATTAGAGACCAGAGATATCACTCACTGCATAGCACCTGCATGGTAAGTCAAGGTCCTGAGTTCAATTTCCAGTAGAAAAAAATGCTAAATTAAATTGAATTCAAACTAATAGGATTTCTAAACTTCGAAATTTACATTTTATTCTATTAAAAATTGTCTAATTTTATAGCATCTTTTAGTAGTCTATTGTCATATCCATTTTGAATCTCATATTACACTAAACCCTTTCAATTGTTATTTAAAGTGAAACACAGTAAAAAGAAAAAAAAATGAAATATAGAACCCAACTTTTTAATAAGAAAGATAAATGATATCAGTCATTTTTACTTCTACATTTAGTGTAGTTACATGTTCACTTTTCTGTTCCAATCTTGTCCTTCCTCTTCCTGACTTAACTTTAGCTCCTTTTTGGGTACTGCTTTAAATGACAGTAAAGCTGCATGTTTGGGTGAAACCTAGGCATTTTTGCAAGGAAGTGTCCTTGCTTATCTCCTGGCATGGATGACAAGTTACTCATACAGATGGAGTGACCAGTAAAATGAAATGAAACTGAAAAGAACAGGGGGGATTAGGGGTAGGAATGGGACATTTGCAATTTGTTAGGAAGGCCAAAAGCAAGCTTTATTCCAGGTGTATAAAGAAGGATTTAAAATAAGAAATCAATCTCATAGTATAATTTACAATTTGTAAAAATACACAGTGCATTAATTAATCATGCTGTCAAGAGAGCCCATAGATAAAACAATTAAGAGGGAAGTTTGATGTCTCCCTCAGATAACATGATTTAAATTAGCATATTTTCAGTGAACCTGAAAGAAACTGAACATTACCAAGATACTTCATGTGAAGTGAAAATGACCTTTGAAAACTTAGATATCTAGGTGAGGTAGCGTGATACACACCAGTCTGTGTCTGGCTGAACGTGGGCCCTGATTTCACCTGAGCTGCAGACATTGAAGATATATTTGATATATTTTATTTTCAAAGACACACAGGGGATGAATATACAGAGAAACTACAGACTAACTCTGAGCCAAGCAGAACTTCAGAATGATCACTAGGTCAAGAAAGAAAAGGGAACAGAGAAAAATGAACAAGTCAGGAAAAAGAACACTGGAAAAATGTTCAAAGGAAAAGTGGTGTCCTAGAAGATGATATGCTATGCAGACCCAGTAAAAATCATCAGAGCTTCTTAGCACTTAAATACATTGAGCACCAGAATTATGATTTGTATTTAGCAGTGTGGAACTTGGAGATTTGGTAAACACAGCAAGAGGTGTTTCAACACAGCACATACTTTACACAAAATATGTGGGACCAAGGAAGCCAGGAAAATTGGGTTTCCAAAATTTGATTTATTGATACAATTATTGGCCACATCTGCTATTTTTTCTATGCAACATTAAAATTATAATATTTATAATTTTGCCTTTAAAATTAAAAAAAGAACACAAAACACAACAGAGTAAAATAAAAAGCTATACAATACAAACAAAATCTCTGGAATATTCTAGGGTTACTAAAAGAAGTCACAGAAAATAGAAATAACTGATTTTAATATAAGCCTTTCCAAGTCTTTGTTGTACAAGACAGTCCATTTGAAAAAGAAACATGATCCTCAATTTTGCTTTCATTGATCAGCATACAATTATCTTCACGTGTTAAAATGAAAACTTAAAAATTAATTGAAAATTTTATTATAAAAGAAAATGTCAAAGTGTATTATGCAGAAAAATATTATTATTTCAAGCAGGTGATACTTTATTTTTATTGAATTCCATGACAATATGTTTAGTCTCTGGTATAAGTAACAGTATATTTATATTATGTATATATCCATCAGGAACTCTGAACAACATTGGAATCTTAAATGTTTATATAGAAAATTTTATAATTTAATAAATAGAATCATTCTTTTGAATTTGTGCTGAACAACTATGAATAACAAAATTTATATGGCATTGAAAGAGTTTATATTTATTCAGACAATATCTGGCAATCAATTTTAAATACTTTCACCTGAAAATTAATTCTAAGTTAATTTGTGAGTTCACAAGTTTCACTGAAATTATCACTAACACGAAAAGATCATAAAAATGTATTTTTAAATTTGTAATTCTGAAATAACACTCACCCATAATATCTAAACAAAGATTACATTATTATACATTACATTACATTATATAATATTGGGGGGCTGGGGATTTTGCTCAGCGGCATAAGCGCCTGCCTTGCAAGCAGGCAGTCCTGAGTTCGATCCCTGGTACCGATAAAAATGAAAAAGACAAAAAAAAATTATAATATTGAAGACCATAGAATATACTAGCTTCATTGTTCATAAAAATTGTACGAGTGGTACTTTTCTTTTATTGACATCCATGACAATATTTTTACTTTGTGGTGTAAATCACTGCATATTGTTATTATGTGTACTATCACTCAAATCTCACATAAATTTTACATACAATTCTTTTTAGCAGATAAAATGCAATATACAGCCAAATAAAAATGTTTATATATGTATATATACATATATGTAGAGAGAGCGGTATGGATTATAGTATAAATGTATCACATGCAGTGATATAATATTTTTACATATACACTTTATGCAGTATTTTGTGTATATGTATGAATCTCAAATATTATTTGGGAGCATATTATATTTTACATTATATAAGTATATATGTATGTGTGTATAAAATTAACATTTATGTTTATATATATTCTTAATTGCATTTATTTGTGCATTTTAGGTATGACTACATTCATCATAGGAAATCTGTACCCGTACATAACACACAAGATTCTCTTACCTTCCCTATAACTCAAATTCCCCTACTTACTTATAAAATCTTTACTTCCATTTTTTTCCTGTTTCATCATTTTGCTTCTTTTTGCTGTATTTCTCTCTCCCCATCCCTAATTGCTCTTCCCTATATTTGAACATTTTACTCAAATTTATATTTAACTGAATGTTACGCTTTTTTCCAACATGATAAACCTAGCAACCTGAGATGTCAGCTTAATATGCTTTCTTAATTAATGTATTATAATGTAAAGAACTAGATAACTACTATCACAAAGTCCAGCGTATTAGCAATGCAAGAAGAAAACAATCTGCATAGCTGTAGCGCACTGTTGGGTCTAATTGCAGTCTATAGCAAAGTTGATGTGAGGTGATTACTTCTATTTAGTAACAATTTAGTATATCAAGTTGGAAGATCTAGAATAATGAGAAGTCACCCAAGCGAAGCTGATGAGCTTTATTTCTGTCAACTGATCTAGAGATTTCAGCATTATTAGTGTTAATGACTAATCTACAGTGTTGACACAACCTCCAGTGAGCTGCAGTCCAGCTGATCACTGGGTTCTTTGTTACACACACACACACACACACACACACACACACACACACACAGAGTGAAGTGACATGGAAGATGGAAGATGATTCCTTCTTCATTGTGAGAAGTCCTACATTATGGCGTCAGTTTGCCCATCTCCATCTCTCTGAGCCACTCTTTAGATTACAAGTATTTTATACCCTCTCCTCAGTCTCAAATTCCTCATTTTATAATTGAATGAAACTTCAGCTCTTCCATGAAATTTAAATGAATGAGTTGTGTCAAAGTGTTTCCCAGAGACTTTCTGTGTACAGAGCAGGTAATATTTTCGAGCTTGTTAAACACATGTAATTATGAATACACTGCTGTACAAAATTAACAATTCCCAAATGAGATCAGCTATGTGCAATATCTGTTCTTTGATTGTCTAAAAAATATACCAAAAATTAAAGGTGTAAAGGTAGACGCTCCTCTCAATTTTGAAAAAACTTTAAATTTTATATTGCTTTCCCATCATTGATTTCTTTCACTTAAAATACTAAATTGTTACCCTGAAATGGGAGTCAAGAAACCTGAATTCCTGAGCCTTGTAAATGAGAATATCATTATTATCTTCTACAGAAAAGCAGCAGCTTGCTGTGCTGCCTTGGGGCACTCATTTTTTATCTTGAGGGAGGCATTAAAGTATCTTGAGTTATTCAGAGTCAAGGGTTTTGCTTCAGAGCAGTTGGTGATTCAAAGCAGGCACTAAAACGTGCTGCTGTCCAGTCTCCAAAAATTCATGTTTTCTCCTGACTCTTCATTCTCTTTCTATTTTTCTTCAGCGATTGTAGTACTTTTTATCACCCTGAGGCGGAGTAAAAAGGAGCCCCTGATCATTTCGGAAGAAGATGTCCGGGAGAACGTGGTCACCTATGATGACGAAGGGGGAGGGGAGGAAGACACGGAGGCCTTTGACATCACAGCGCTGAGAAACCCTTCTGCTGCAGAGGAGCTCAAGTGCCGGAGAGACATCCGGCCGGAGGTGAAGCTCACGCCCAGACACCAGACGTTATCCACCCTGGAAAGTATAGATGTTCAGGAATTTCTTAAGCAAAGACTGGTGGAGGCAGACCTAGACCCCAGCGTCCCCCCATATGACTCTCTTCAGACTTATGCCTATGAGGGCCAGAGATCAGAAGCTGGCTCTATCAGCTCCCTGGACTCAGTAACCACACAATCAGATCAGGATTATCACTACCTTGGAGACTGGGGGCCAGAGTTTAAAAAGCTGGCTGAACTCTACGGAGAAATAGAATCTCAAAGAACAACTTAGGGGCTGATTCTAACAACCTTGCAGACTTTGCTTCCAGAGCCAATGAAGATGTAACCTCAGCAATGACAAGGAGGAGGCTTGCAAACTGTACCTGGAACTGAACACCCTGTACACAGCTCCTGTAGAAACAAGTGCCCTTTTTATAAGCAAAACTGGGTTATATAATGGAAAGAAAGTCAAATATAAGAAAAAGATACAGAGAGAAAGCTATCATTCCTTGTGTATATTTTCAATTGCTCAATAAAGTCTGTCGTACCTTTAATTAACAATACCTGAAATAAGCCAAACAATGAATATCCGTTTCAATATCTGTGATTTTTTTTTTTTTCCCCAACCGCAAAAAACTAAACAAAGGGACTCTAAATCAATGACTACTACCACTTATTGGGGTGGGACACTGAGGAAACTTGTACAAGTAATCATGACCTTTGTCCACTCTGGCTCTGCTGGGTAAACCCTTGAGACTGAAAGTCCGATATTATGACGGATCTCCTGAGCCTTGTCTGGTTTTGCTGTCCCACAAGGTGTCCCCAGGACAACAGGCTGCCCCATCACGAACTTCTCTGTACCATTTCCTGTGCCCTCCCCAGTTCTTCTCTCCATACAAAACTGATGGAGCTTGGGGATTTGCTGCCTGCACTCTACTGTATGCAATTTTGGTGCACATCTGTGCGTCAACTGTATCTGTCCCTCCTGCCCTCCATCATTTTAAAGGGACACCCCCCCTTTCTAAATGGGAACCATGAATGGTTGAAGGTAAACTACAATAAAGTCAGGAGGACTTTTAATTTAAAAAACAGCTAAAACCTTATCCCGTGTGACATGTTAGGGTACACCAGGTTCTCCTTTGTTTGAACATGCAAATCAGCAGTTTTAGTCATTTCTGTAACTAAAAGTGATTGTCCAAAGTTTCACTGATTGATTAGTTTACACTGCAGCCTACTCACTAATTTATGTCATGGATACTTATCACACATAAATGCTTCACATGATAACAGTTCAGTCTAAAACAATCCTATCATTTTATGAGCATTAACTTCTTAGACTCCTGGAGGACTGAACTCTAGTCTTTGCACACCTTTTAGACTCTGTCAGTCTCACAACGTGATTAGTTTTTACATGTTTGGTGACTTCAAAAAATATGTAGGATTCGGCACAAAAAAATGAGAGAATCACATTTTTCCTTGGACACAATATTGAAAGTTGGAAGCTTCATGGTTTCAAAATTATAACACATTAATGACACTGACGTCCCCGCCTACCTCACAGGGCTGTTGTGAGGATCACATAAGAGTCTGTGAAAATATTTTGCACACTGCAAAGTCTTGTGCTGCACAAAGGCTTGCAGACACTGTATTTTAATTTTTCAGTTTACAAATACATGTTTACATACATTTTTCATAAAACATCTTATTATCTTAGGTGAAGTTTGTGGGAACTTCAGCTAATGTTTAAATATACAACATACAAGTCTAACTGTTTTCCTATTTTCCTAAGCAGTCTAGTTTTCTTGAGGTTTTGGTTTTCCAAATCGTTTTAGATAATAATTGCTTCGTGCTATTGAACTTGAAGTAAAATTTCACAGCATACTTGTCTGAATCACTAGCTATGATCTCACCACTGTATATGCAATTAATTGAAATTTTTAAATTCATGAAATAAGAATTATTTGAAGGGAACAATTTTCCTTTACTATTTAAAATTTTTTACCATCTAATGTCCCCACAAGTTATATGACATCTTCTGTCTGATTCTACCCACGTGCAAAATTTTGGATTTTGCCTGTTTGTCACTGCCCTGTGCTATATTATATTCCAGTTTTGAGGTATGGGAAGTAAGTTTAATTTGAGTAATTCTCAGTTTGTGTTTAAAGCCTGAGGAATAAAATGTAATTTAAGCTTTTACAACATTTTAGCTTTCCAGATGCTGCTTTATCATTTTTTTTTACTTCATAATGGTGTACGGTCCAGTGTTAAAAGATGGAGGGGCTTGCAGGACACCTCCTAGACACACAGCCTCTGACTATGCTAATGCTGGACTCTGACTCCCTGTGGAGTGTGCCCTTGGACAACATCTGTGAATCCTGGAGTGTTCACTTTATTCTACAAAGAGGACAGGGAAGATCAAGTTTTGGAAGTTAAACATTCTTTGAATTTAGATTTTAGATAAACTATCAAAGATTTACAATTAAAGTATTCCTCTAATAGCTTAGCAGAGAAAGATCGTAAAGATGATTATCTTTGTACTCGTGTAGACATTTACACAAACGTCAAGGTCTTATGTGTGATTCTCAACAGAGCACTCTTTTTCATTTAAAGGGAAAATAGAAAAATCAAGAAGCAAACAACAATCAAAAATAATAACAAAATCAAAATGCTGTTAATGTAACAAATTTTATTTACACTGTCTAATGATAAAACATTTCTTCTAAGCCAATGATGTGAAATCTAAATATGAAAGCAAAATGAAGTTTCATTAGTCTTTAAATATTTTCCACATTGATCTGTTTTAAACGTTACTGAAAGTGTTTTAAGCCCTGTATTTTAGATGGACTCTGAAAATAGCCACATCACTTTGACATTAGGATTCAGACATTTATAGTCAGAAATTATTCCCGTCACAGGTTTGTGCAAACATACTTGAAGAAGCAATTGAGGACAAAATGATGACTGTGCTGAAGATATATGCATAGATAAATTGTGATTTTACCATTGTATGAGATCAGCCACATGTATCCAATCTACTTAGAATCACGTCCGCTTAGCCACCCGAATGTGTACACATGCAGTATTCTGAATATTTGGAAAATGTGAAAATTTACAAAGTGAAGATTTAAATGTTAATTTGATTCACTTATATGATGAATATAAAATTTTAGTGAAAGTTCAATACTGATAGATGATTCAAAGTGAAATGATTTTATTTACACTTATGTAGCCTAAATTTCAGAGGTTTCACTTCAGCATTAAGTCACAGAGATGGTAAAGTGAAGATCAGGTAGAGATAGCAAACAGGATTAAGTCAAGTTTTAGAAATGAAGATTCAGTAGACACAGTGCAGTGAATAATTACAAGTCTTGAGTCTCCTACCTAGTATATGCAATTCAGGGAAAATATTTGCTTAAAAGGAGGAAAGTGTATTGGGTCTTCTATTTCCTCCAAAGAGATGCTTAATACAAAATGAGTCTTTTATTGATGTTGTGGTTCTTAAGACTTGTACACATAAATTGAAGTTAGTGTCTCTATTTCAGTTTAAATATAAGGAAAAGGGAAAAAAATCAAATACATTCATTTCAGAACCACCAAGACACTGCAGTGTACTGAATACAACAGTCAAACATGCTTGGATCTAGCAAGTCAATGTGTGTTAGCAGGAGCGGGGCTTCATCAGCTTTTGGACAAATTAAAACTCTACAACTCAATTTAGTGAAAAAAGCAAGTCTCATGTTTCAAGACAAACTTGTGTTTATCTTCTACTAAGTTAATTGAATTCCTTTCCTTTCAATGTCAAGTCTGAAATCTTTGGGAAAATGTAAGGCACTTTCAAAACTCAGTCTCTCTCTCTCTCTCTCTCTCTCTCTCTCTCTCTCTCTCTCTCTCTCCCTCCCTCCCTCCATCTCTGATTAATACTATCTGAGAAATGCAAAAGCACTTTAACATTTTTTGTCTTCTACCTCATCTGCAGAAATATTGTTTTTCAATGTAGGATGAGAAATCTCCTAAATTCCAAGCCTCACATAACTTACAACCTTTCAAAGATAACTGGAACCAAAGTCAGTTTTATTTTTAAATTTCCAAATAAGAATTTTAAAATTAAATATTAAACACAATACTTTTTAGAACATCAAAACCATTTGCCTACTCTGGTTTATGCCAATAAAAGTTGTAAGGAATTAGATGAGGCATTTATTTTATTGATGAAAGAAATCAGAGAAAAATAGAAAAGTTTTTTCTTTGAAGTGTTCATTTAAAAAACAGAAAAAAAAATACTTCTCCAGTTAACAGACAAACAAAGTACCACATTTGTCTGCTCTGTTGAGTTCCTGGCAATGAATATTTGCTCTTCAAAATTTTAGAGATATCGAAAATTATGTTAGTAATGATGTTTTTTAAACTCTGTGGTGACAGTGAGTGGTGAAAGAGGGCACCCATGGGATTTTGAAATTACATCCTTTGAAGGAAAGAGCTGCCTTTCATAGCTAGCAAAGAGTCTGTCAGATGGTTTCCTCTTATTGCACAGCGCACTCACTTGGAACAAAGAAAATGTGCTATAATCGTGTCATCTAAATAATTTCATCGTGTATATTTTTCTTACATGAAAAGCATCAGATTCTTATTTTTAATCATCGGGTAGCATTTTAAAGTGGCATTTAAAATCCACAATTATTACTGACCTGCAGGAACTGAGTAAGGTATTCCGCACAAGCACTATCTAAGGCGTATTGAAGACATGGAGAGGGATATGGGAAAAATCCTAGTGACCCATGTCATCGTCAGTGTAATGCAGCCTCTTCAGAGAATTAAAGTTTGCCCCTCAAACGCTGTGGGCAGTGGACAAGAAAGCACAATGGCCAGGGTTCTAGCAGAGACCCAGAAGCAATGGTGTGAGAGAGCACAGCAGTGTCCATATGTGTGACACTGGGCAAATTCATAGGGTGGAGAGTGCAGTAAGGGAGACCACAGAGGGAGATAAAAACAAGGGCAGTAGCTTTGCATGTCCCAAAGTAAATTCCCTCTGGTCGTACTGGAGAAAGTAAAGGCAGGGAAACAATGCCAGTGTGAGACTTTAAGGGAAGACAAAGTCAGCCTTTGGGTGATGGATCAGATCTTAATCTGTAATCAGTGTCCCTGGGTTTACTAAGTTTACAGAAAAGTGATCATGGTCATATCCATTTTTTTCTTTGGTGGATGGGGGGGGCTGCATCTTTTATAAATACTTATCAGCCATTTAAGAATTATTGAATGAAAATTCTGTGTGTGCTCCTACAGGATAGTATTGGATAATTTTGTTTTCCAAAAACTACAATACTCATATTAGCAATTAGTTTAGAAATTTCTTTTAAAAAGTCATAGGTAATGTAAATCTAATGTTTTTTTTGGTAAAAACAGAGTTTTATCTACCTTTCAATCTTTTTAACAAAATGAAGGCATATATATGCTTTCAGGAACATTTTTTTTTTCACAAAACTTTATTCATGGCTGCCTAAGGAGCTTTATTTTCTATAATCAGTTTTTAGGCATAAAAATATTTTTGAAATAAAGAAATATACAAAAACCAAAGACCATATTGCTGCCTTCTTATAATCACATTAGTTATTTTTGATGAGATATTTTTAATTCTTAACAACACAAATATAGCATGCATTCCAGTGCTTGATTAGGTAGTGCTTTATATTTAATTTTCTTTTGAAAAAGTTTTCATTATGAGACATGAAGATTTTGTGATTTGTTAACATTAATAGTAGACAGCCTGAAATTCCTACTTTTGAAATTCCTATCTTCCTGTGTTTTTCTTTTTTCACATTTACTATCTTAATTTTATAGCCCTTGAAAACTATATTTGTGCACTTTTCAGAATAAATTCAAGAACTTTTTTTTTTTCCCCCATAGGTAGAGAACAGTTACATTGCTTCCAGAGTTAGGATTTCTGTGCATTTCCTGTGTGTTCAAAAATCATGCTTTATTTCAGTAAAAAGTAATAAAAAATATTGCATTCAGAAAAGTGCTCTGTGACAGTGACCTACCCTGGGTCTGAAACATTCCAGATGTTTGGTGTGGTTTTGTAGCGCTTACAGAACTCTATTTCCATTTACCTGGAAAGAATATCATTTTAACTTTTCCAAAGATAGTTGGGAGTGTATTTTTATTTTTTATGTGAGATTTATTTTAAATATTACAAATGGCTTTAATGAGTTAATTGATTAGCCATTTTTTCTGAAATTAAATTGGAATTTTACATATTGTTTAATATATTGTCAGTATGACATTCAACACAGTCAATAACTGAAATTTTAAAAAGTATATGATTTCAATATTTTTCTCTTTAATCAAAAGTAAATTTAAAATATAGTTTTTGTAGAAGAGGCACTCACATGGAATAAATATTCTAGTTTACTCACTTGAGTGACATATTCTCTTTATAACAACACATAAATTTCATGATGTTGGGCAGTGGATATAGCTCAGAAGTACACTGCCTGTCTGGCAAGTGTGAGTTTGATCCCTGGTACAATATAAAAGATTATGATATTGATCACACAACAATGAATTAACAATACGTTAATTCCATTTAATGAAATAGACTACAAAATTTATATCGAAGTACAATGCATAAGGTTTTCTAATTTCTATTTAGTAGAATTCTCAGAATATGATTCCTGAGGCAATAAAAATATAAACTTTTCCCTTTGGGACTCATTAGCATCGATCATTCATTTGTTACACGTGTTCAGTCACGATAGCCAACTACTTTTTCCATTTCTAGCTGTCGTCATTTCATTCTGAGAGAATGAATGAATAAAAGAAGTGTCATGACTTACTGGAACAAGAGTTTGAAAACTGCACTTCTTGACTCCTCAACCTTCCCTTTCCCAATCAGTGTCTTGAAACACAGAGGGCACGGACACCATAGATGGATCAATGTCTGACATAAGGAGGGAAAGTTTAGGCTTGGAGTCTGGGTATCACAGTTTCCACTATACATTCTGTGAAAATTACTAATTCTGCCTGTGTACTATCAGTTTAAACATTGTTTAAATAACACTCCAATTGTAAATGAAATAGTGTCTTTACATTTCTCTCTCAGAGTTATGGATACCAGATAGATCCTTATCAAATTGACTAGTTTTACTAATATGGTTTCATTATTGTTCCCTCTGTCTTCCCAAAGAGTCGTCATCAGGATTTTGTG